GGATGGTGGATGGATGGATGATAGATGAATGGATGATAGATGGATGATGGGTGGATGGTGCAAAGACCAATAACTGCAGTAATTCTTCTTGACTTAGACTGTTCATGAGACTCACATCAGGGAAAGGCCATGGGAGTGGTATAACTGGTGCAAGACCCGGAGGTCTTGATGCAAACAAGAACAGATGTAGTATACGTGAGGGGGAGTGAAAGGAGAAGCTGTGACCAGAGACTGGAGGGAACAGAATAAAATCCTGCGCTAGGCGAGGTCTGCGATGATGCGAGGCCGGGGAGCCCCCTGGAGATGCCAGTCCAAAGGGTGGGGCTGGGGGGGCCTGGAGGCAAAGGAACACTCGCTTACAGTTACTGGGTGGGTGGTCCAAACGGCCTTTTGTAGTTTCAAGTTGGGATTTAATTCATGGGGATCTATTCTGTATCCCATCAAATTGTCCCATGGAGAGGAGTTTTTATACAAAACTGACTTAAAAATAAACTGCGCAGAACAAACGCATTCATTGACAACTCTTGCCTTATTTTTTAACCTCAAAACATGAGGGTGGTGTTGCTTAAAGGTCAAGTGTGTGAGTGTGAGTGTGTGTGCGTGTGTGTGTTAGAGAAGGAGAGAGAACATGCACTGCGTGGTTTGTTGTCTGACCTTTTTTAGCATTTAGTTGTAGGCTAGTTGTGAAGCGACGTCGGGCATATTATATATATAGTAAAATGTCGCCAAAACCAAAGACATTCTGTTTCCAACTCCCAACTCAAATACTTGAAATTCATACTCCAAATAAAAATTCACAGTAAATTTGGGCCTGGAGAGCACAGTATCTGTGCATGGGAGGACTCTATCATCTCTATTCATAGTACAATCGTCCCTCAGTATCCGAGCAAGACTCAGCCCAGGACCCTGCCAACATCACAACTTACAGACGCTTGAGTCCCTTGTATAAACTGGCACAGCGTTTGCAAGTAAGATTTCAGTGAACTTTGAATCATATCTAGATTACTTATAATATCTTTACAATGTAAATCCATGTAAATAGTTCTAGCGTATTATTTAGGGATTGCTGACAAGAAAACCACCTGCACAAACTCACTACAGTTTCAATTGATTTTTCAATATTTTAGTTCTAGGATTGGGTAAATCTATGGATAATAACCTGCAGATACGGAGGAATGACTATTATTGGGCACCTACTGTGTGCTGGGCACTGTTTTGGGGATTGATTTTTTAAAGGATTATGAAGCCATGGGATGTATTATTGAAAGAAATTATGAAATTCCCTCACCTTTAAGAACACAAATAGGGGCCGGAGAGATAGCTCAGTAGGATAAGCACTTGCCTGGCAAGTGCAAGGGTCTGAGTTCAATCCGCGGTACTGCAAAAAAAAAGACCACAAACAAATTACAATCTGCCTTCAGTTGTGCAGAGACTGGGAAACAGAGGTGTTGATAGTTGTACCTAATGATTCCAAAGAGGTCACACCGTAGCCCTCCCCTAGTCCTGTGTTATGGTTTGTGTCTAGACGTCCCCCTAAAGCCACATGTAAGTCATGGAGCAGACCCAGCTCAAGGAGCAGGAAGTGGCTTGAGGGGCGGGGCCAGAGGACCAGGGCAGGGCTTGAGGGG